GAGGGGGGAGGCTGGGAAGGGATGTGAAGGGTAAACAAAGGAGGAGGCTGCAATGCTTGGTAAGAAATGTACGCATTATCCTGCCCATGTAATTGTAACTCATCTGTACAGTATGTTCACAAATAAAATAAAATAAAATTTTAAAAAAAATGCAAAGAAATGTAAAAAAAATAACAAAAAAAAAACAAAATGTCTATTGCCAACCCTAAGATCACCACTAAATTATTGTTCATGAAAGGAAATACAATTGTTGTTGTAAAGATCATGACAGGAGTTGCCCTAAGGAGGAAAGAGCCGTTAGAAGCCTAGATAAGACACACCTGTGATTACTCAAGGCCTTGCAATAAGCCATGGCACTGGTGTATTCCCAGAGATCTGGCTGGACACAAAGGGAGCTCTACCAGGCTGCTTCTGAGGAGTAACAGTCCTGATGGAGACACGTCTGGGTTCAACACAAGGAAGATTCTGGAAGGCTAGAGTTAGGTACTCTGTCAGGGGAGTATTATTAAAAACAGCTCTCAATGCTGGGGTTTTGATCATTGGGGACGCTGGTAGTTATTAAGTTGGTGATGTCCACATTTCGGGTATAAAATAGCAAAGGAGGCAGATGCTGCCTGAGACACAGGCCCTCAGTCCTTTCCTACCACATCCTTTGCCAGCTTTACTACAAAACACACTGTTTTGTAGGGTCCTTTTGGGGGCCCTTGGCTTCTTGTTTACGCCTCCATATCCTGGAGGGTTCCCAGCCTTCCCAGGAAAGCCTGAAGAGGAAGAAAAACAGGACAGCATCCATTATCCTGGCGTGCCCCGAGAGGAAGAGAGACAGGAAAGCATCAGTCAGGTCGCTACTCAAAGCACCCCTGCGAGGCCTCCTACTCTCCTCACTCCTTCCTTCCTCTCTTTGCTAACTTCACATCTTTTCCTTGCAAACGTCATCCATCATCACAGAAGTGTGCTCTGCTTTATCCGATATTACATGGGTTTTGTTCATGTACACTTCACCATGTCTCAGCAGTATATGGTCTACTGGCAGTGCTACCCCATTTACCAAATGAGTTCAAATTAGGAGAAGATCGTTTGTTGTTAGCTTACCTCATGCAGAGCACACACACACACACGTACACACACACACACACACACACACACACACCTACACAGAACTTGTATCTCTATCACAGCCACTTCCTGTCTGCCGTCCTCCATCTTGGGTCTCTACCACAGGCCACTTCCTGTCTGCCGTCCTCCATCTTGGGTCTTTCTCCTCACACAAGCTCGGGGTCACCATACAGAACAGGGCAGTATTCCCTCTACTTACACTTGATGCTGATGGGGATGAGTCATTGGGATAGGCCCAGAACCGGCTCGGGGTCTTTGGCAGACCACTCCTCAGAGGCTGGAGATGGCTGTTGGTGGAGCAATAGACTTTGCTCTGTATCTGAAAACCCTCAGGAGACTGTGTGAAGAAGCCAGCAGCAAACAGCATTTCTGACTTCCACAGGACCAGGCAAGGGGACCGTATTGTTGCATTGTGTCCTTCTGCCTTTCCCCTGTACTTCAAGTATCACAACTGGGATTTAAAATCCTAAAATGCTATCACTACTATGTTTTAAGGCTTACTTCCCACTTTGAAGCAATGAAAACCTGCAATTTATTTACACAATTCTTTCCAATTCGTGGCTGTCTGGAATGATTTGTGTGAATAGAAACATATGGAAGGATTCCTTTCCCTACCCCACCCTTGTAGTTATCATTTCTTCCAGTCAGGATTCTGAAAAGGGCTACAGTTAGTGACTCTGCCTTCACACCACTAAGTTATAGCAGGAGAAGGACCATTCAACCCTAGCAGCAATGTGACTGAAAACACCTGTAGGTCAAAAGGTCAGTGATCTTGGTCTAAAAGCCAGTGCCCATGCCCATTCTTGCTTCTCATGTCCCATAACCTAGCTCACCACGCTTACTCAATACTTGTTCCCACAAATGACTTTTATGACTGCCTCTAATTTATATAGACTCCTCACTGAAATCTGCAGCCATGTAGAAGAAGAAATTCATGTTTAATTTGAAAGAAATGCAAATAAGCTTGTAATTCTCATAATGAATCAAATCACAGAACTGTAGATATTACAGAAAGCCAGGGCACTATTGCCCTTATTACTAGAAATCCCTTTCTTTGGCTGGGAATGTGGCCTATGGTAGAATACTTGCCTAGCATTCATGATGCCCTGGGTTCGATTCCTCAGTACCACATAAACAGAAAAAGGCAGAAGTGGTGCTGTGGCTCAAGTGGTGATAGAGTGCTAGCCTTGAGCAAAAGAAGCTCAAGCTGTGTTCAAACTCAAGACTGGCTAAAAAAAATGCCTTGGAAATTTTCTATAAATATGGTTCTAACGTAAACAAAACTAATGCCTTAAAAATGACAACAGAGGCCAGGTGATGGTGGCTCACACCTGTATTCCTAGCTATTCAGGAGGCTGAAACCTGAGGATCATGGTTTGAAGCCAGCCTAGGCAGGAAAGTCCATGAGACTCTCAGCACGAATAAACTACCAAAAGACCAGAAATGGAGCTGTGGCTCCAGTGGTAGAGTACTAGCCTTGTGCAGAAGCAGGTCAGGGACAGCACCCCAGGCACTGAGTTCAAGCCCCAGGACCAGCACATACCGACACACACACACACACACACACAACAACAACAGAGATTGCATCCATATTTAACACACAGTTACTTTATTTTAACAAGCTTCTAGTCAAGTTTTTGCTGTCATTCATTGTCCCCATTCATGGGGACACTCATTGTGACATTCTCACTCTATTCACACAACAGGTACAACTATGCCCACGGCATAGCTTTGAGAATTAATAGCCCTAAGAGAAATCGGCACCTGTATTTTAGGGTCACTGCTTCTTTATCTTCTACACCAACCATTACTTGGAGCATTTTACAAAAATTAAAAATCTCTGTCAGATCTCTACCACAGTCCTTCTGTCTGTGGACAAGGCAAAGGCCTGGCAAGAAAAGTGTTTGGATCCCAAACACTTGGAGAGTTGAGAGCTGTGGAGTTGAGAGCCACTGGTTTCTATGGCTCAAGATGGCCTCAACCCAAGTGTGTCCTCTAGAGATGGATCCATGGGACTGGAAGGCTCTTGTATTCTCTTCTGTGCATCACCCGCCTGCCTGCGCACTGGCAGAGCTCCTGTGTACTCACAGGACCACGGAAGCACTATGGGGGAGCTTCTGGGAGCGGAGGGTGAAGCCTGGATCCGAAGAGCAGAAGTTAGGGTGATTGTTTCCCAGGGGACTTGGGACGACAGCACCTAGAGAAATAACTCGAAATGGACTTTCTGGGGCTCAGCACAGGGAAGCTGGGGGTAAGAGCCTGACAACCACAGGGTGCTGCTGACACTCAGACACACAATTCACACACAGTGTCCCCACCGCCTGCAGCCTGGCCAGTCACAGAGGCCTGACAGGGAATTTTGACATCAGGTACAAACATGGAAATTCCTGCTCATTGGTAGCAATTTGGTCATTTCAGAATCTGGGCCAGAGTCATGGAGCGGGAGGATGGGAGGGGGAAGGTGGAGAAATGCTTCACAATCACCACAGATGAAGAAAAACACAATGAGACCCATGGCTTCCCAAATTACTTCAACACGTGTGCAATGATGTTCTTGTGTCTTTGAGCAATGTGGCTCAGGATTTCTGTGCCTGCCTGATCCCTGACGTGTTGAATTTTGTCCTCATACTTTGCTGTGATAGATTTCACAGTTTCCTCCTCTTTCTGTTTCTGTTCACTGAGCATCTGAGCATACTCGTCATCCACTATTTGAAGGTTCTTCTTTAATTCATCAGTATAATTTTTCTTTAAAATCTCTGCCTGCTTCTTCAGCCTCTCCTCCGCATCGGCATAGATTTTATCAGAAAAGTAAGCCCCTCCATTCTTCTGCACCATTTTGTCTATCAGCCCCACCAGCTCCTGTACCTGCTCTTCCTTCTCAGCCTGGTCTGCTTTGTTACTGATGGCCAAGACATGGTTCCCACACTCCTTGATGACTCTTTTCAGATCCACATCTGCCTCCTTTAAGAAGTCATTGAGGCTCAAGCCCTCCAGACCTTCTTTGTCAGTGAACAAAACAATCATGTGCTTCATGGCTGCTGTCCCAAAGACAGCCTTGATCAAAGCAATAGTTTTCTGTTCTTCCTCTGTGTATCGGCCCAGCTTCATAACTAGGATGATGGCGTGAGGCCCTGGGCAGGAATAGAGGACACACCTGCTGATTTCCATGCAAGTGGTGTGCAGAGTTTTCTTGGTGTCAAAGAGCCCCGGGGTGTCCACCACCCCGAGGACTCTCTCTTTCCATGTTCTGGATGCCCGCTGGCAGGTCTGAGTGACTGCATGCGCAGATATTCTAGAATGAAAGGTTTCTTTCCCAAGAATGGTATTGGCTGTGGCGCTTTTTCCGCTTCCAGTTTTCCCGACCAGAACGATCCGCAGAGAGTTATCCCCGGACTCCGCCATGCTGGCCACAGGAATTCAGCCTCAGGAGCCCAGGCACTCTGTGGACTAAAAGGACAAAAATCACTCAGATAAAATAGAACACATCCCTAACGGCCCTCAAACACATGAAAAGATCCTCCACCTTGCTAGTAGGACCAAAACAAACAAACAAGTAAGCAAACAAATGAATCAACTCCCCTGGGAGCGCCCGGGAAGGGTGACTGAAAGGGACAGTGTGAAGGATGCTGACGACGCAGGAGGAAGGGAGGAGGGTGGAATCAAGCTGAGCACAAATTGGATTGAACAGAAAGACATCAATGGGATTTAATTTATTCTGAGAGTATAGAGCAGGGACAGTAATAAACCAGAGGTGATTTCCCAACACAAAGTGAGGCCCCATCTGAGGAATAAGTTTAAAAAATAGGGCTAGACACTGGGCCCCAGTGGTAGAGCTTCTGGTGGTATTGTAACTTAAATAGAGAGAGGGGATAGAGAAAGAAGGCAGGGCACACATACAGAGAAAGGAGTCTTTTTTATAGGTAAACTCCCATCTGTAAGAATGCTTGTGAAAGCCAGAGAGAAACTATCCCTAATTGGGATGACTGGAACACAGGTGGAAAGAGCTCAGGCAAGGGCACAGATGTGCTGTGCTGTGCTTCCAGTTGTGTGAGGAAATGAGGACCATCACTACTCAATGATGGGAAGGTTCCCAGGCATCTAAGTGCAGCACATCTTTACAGGAAAGCAGAACAATGCATAGAATACCAACCACCAATGAGGTAAGACAAGCCTCACTTTGATTGGGTTTTGGGGGGGGAATAGGCAATATACTTAGATGGTATATGCTTTGCAGAAATATGTAAATAAAGAAGAAAGGAGGAGAATGGTTCCTGGGTGTGCAGGCAGGAAAGAAATTAGCAGGACCAGTAGAGACTGCAGATGTGTCTATCTGCAGATGTTCTCTATCAATGCATTGTAAACAGTTTATGAAATAGGAGGTCTGACTGCACATTTTATAAAACTTTAATAGCTACTGCATCTTTGACATAGTGGCTGTGATAAATAACATCCTTATTTTAATATATGTTCTAAAATATTGACAGATAAGACTATATTAAATGCAACTCTAGCTTCAAAAGGATCCAGGAGGTGGGAGGAGAACTGGGTTGTTAGAAAGCTGAAGCCCGAGTGGCCAGGTGTGGGCCATTGTCAAAGCTTGCTTATGGAAACAGGAACTCACTACACTCAACTTTTGTAAATCTGTGACATCTTCTTCACTAAAAATTTGAGGTGGGCATATGCACTTGTAACCACAACTGATTACATGACTATATTGAGGACCCGGATGTGAAGGTTCCACAGGAATAATTTATCTCAGAAATACTCCAGGATGGAGGAACGATTCTTACCCTAATTTTATAGGCAAGGACAGGATGACTGAAAAAAGCCAAAACAGCTGCCCACCACCCCTGCTTCCTCTGTGTTGGGCAGAGCAGGGACTCAGACCATCGGACTCCATCACATTCCCTGTCAACCAGCACGAGGTGACCCCAGCCAAGCAGCTTCTCAGCTGTGATTGTAAAATCAGAAGCAGAGCAGGGGCGGCAGGGGAGGGGCCTCCTTCATCCAGACAGAGCGCTGGGCACAGGCCTGCAGCAAGGAGGCCAGGGCATGGCTGCCTCTGTCTCCCTGGCCTTTCTCCCTCCTCCATCCCAACAAGCCAAGTCAAGACAGGCCAACAGAAGCAGTCACTCCCAAGCTTCCCTGAGCACGTCTTGGGAGACCCACAGGGCCTCAGCAAAGAGCATGGCTGAGAAGCAGGTGCTCGGGGAATTGCTTTAGCAGAGGGCAGAGCTAGCCGGCGCACAGATGGCCACTCTGAGAATCCCTGGTGCCCTGTGAGATTCTGTCCCCTCTGCTGTGAGCCGGGACAGAGAAACCTGCAGATCTGCCCTGAATCTCCCTGGAGAAACTTCTATGAAGATCTCTCACAGAAACCACAATGTGGTTGCTACTCAGGATCAAAATGTTTTTTATCCCCAACCACTGATACCAAGGAAAATATGAACTGAAAGCAATTGAGGCACAAAGAGCCACATAACCGCTCAGACTGAGCTGGAATAACGGCTCCCACTGTGTCTTCAGAAGTCAGTCCTGCCCCTGAGTCCCCCTCCCTCTGTCTCTCTCCCAGGAGGGTCCCAGCCTCCTCCCTGGGCTGTGCTGGGGGATCTCCACATGGAGTCAGGCACAGGACTGTAGTGCCATCTCCACCACCTCCTCTATCTCGGCTTCATTTGCAAACTCATCAGTTTACTAACTGTTCTTGGAATGAAAGAGCATTAGAACTGATTGACACTTGGTGGCTTGACACCCCCCCCCCCTCCTTCTGAAGATCTACCTTGGGGGATAACAGCGTCCTTTGGAAGGAGCCTGATCAGCTTTTGGGCAAACATCAGGCAGGCACAGGTAGCAGGTGCCTGGGAAGCACGGGTCTGTCCTGTGCTCTGGGAATTGGGTAAACGTCCTCCTGAGACGGATATCAGAGGCTTTCTGATGCCTTCCCACTCCTTCAGAATGTACCTGCAGCGCACACAGTGGGCCACCGTGGCCCACCCAGCCCTTCTCCCTCGCCCTGTGAACTGTATGTCCTCTTCCTGGCCAGCCTCACCTTCTCCTGCAGGACTGCCGTGCTCTGGAGCGCTCCCCAGTGAAGCTGGTGGTCGGCTGCCCCTGCTCCAGTCTGAAGGGAAGCTTGCTCTGACATGGTTGGACTGCCCAGCTCTCAGCCCAGAAGCCAAGCCCAGAAGCCAAGCCCCAGGGGAGGGGCCAGCCAGCAAGAGATCTCCAGGAGCTTCCTGGAGAGCAGCTGGCCTGCAGTATTGTCTGAGGCAGATCTGTTCCTTTGCCAATGGCATGGCCACTGCTGTGTTTGCTTCTGGTGGCTCTGAAGGCCCTGGGACTTGTCCCGATGGCCTGTGAGAAGCGCCTCCATCTCCCAGCTGAGAGCAGTGATCCCAGCGAGTCTCCTCTCACTTTGAACCAGTCCTGGGGTTGCCTCAGATGCCTACATAAGGTGCCTAGATTCTCCTTTCAAGGCCACGGCCGATGCCAAGGCCGCTCACCTCCTATGGCTGGTCAGCTCAGCGGTCTGAAGGCCTTCCCTGTTGAGATCTCTCCAGAGCCTCACTTTCTCTTTCCCTCCTGAGTTCCATGAGGCTGACCTCTGTGAGGCCTTGCCTCGCGTTTCTGGCCTCCCTCACTGGCCCACAGGTATTGCTCCAATCCTGAATGGCCCTGGTACCAGCCCATCTCCATGTCAGTCTGCCCCCTGTGCTCCAGAGGTCTCTATTGGATTGGTGAGTAGCTGGGGGTCAGGAGGGGTAACGCTCCGGGCTTGGCATCATGGAGACTGTGGTGATGGAAGAGTCTGGGTGTGACCCTGGTGTCTGTGCCACATCGTACCATGCGGTAATTCCAGGTGCTTCACAGCCAACTTCCCTCTCCAATTTAAAGAACATACATTCCCAAGGCTCTGAAGAGTTAACCACCTGGGGTAGCACTGTCCAAAGAGAAATCACTCTTTACCTGACTTATGTAATCGTAACCCCTCTGAACATCACCTCTATAGTTATAATAAACTTTTTTTTAAGAATTAAGCAACTCAAAATCCAAAGTGGAGCTATGAGGCTCAAACTGGTTGAGCACCAGTGTTGAGAGGGGGTAAAATGCTGAAATAGTTCACAGGCCCTCAGTTCAAGTCCCATGATCAAAAAAACAAAATTGCGAGACGCACTGAGCCTAAGCAGCCGGTGATGGCGGCAGTGGTGGTGGTGGCTGCAGCGGGGCCGGGCCCATGAGGCGACGACGGAGGTGGGACGGCTTTTACACAGTGCCTGACTTTCCGAGACAGGGAAGCTGAAGACATGGCTGGAGTGTTTGACATAGACCTGGACCAGCCAGAGGACGCAGGCTCTGAGGATGAGCTGGAGGAGGGGGGTCAGTTAAATGAAAGCATGGACCATGGGGGAGTTGGACCATATGAACTTGGTATGGAACATTGTGAGAAATTTGAAATCTCAGAAACTAGCGTGAACAGAGGGCCGGAAAAGATCAGACCAGAATGTTTTGAGCTACTTCGGGTACTTGGTAAAGGGGGCTATGGAAAGGTTTTTCAAGTAAGAAAAGTAACAGGAGCAAATACTGGAAAAATATTTGCCATGAAGGTGCTTAAAAAGGCAATGATAGTAAGAAATGCTAAAGATACAGCTCATACAAAAGCAGAACGGAATATTCTGGAGGAAGTAAAGCATCCCTTCATTGTGGATTTAATTTATGCCTTTCAGACCGGTGGAAAACTCTACCTCATCCTTGAGTATCTCAGTGGAGGAGAACTATTTATGCAGTTAGAAAGAGAAGGAATATTTATGGAAGACACAGCCTGCTTTTACTTGGCAGAAATCTCCATGGCTTTGGGGCATTTACATCAAAAGGGGATCATCTACAGAGACCTGAAGCCGGAGAACATCATGCTTAATCACCAAGGTCATGTGAAACTAACAGACTTTGGACTATGCAAAGAATCTATTCATGATGGAACAGTCACACACACATTTTGTGGAACAATAGAATACATGGCCCCAGAAATCTTGATGAGAAGTGGCCACAATCGTGCTGTGGATTGGTGGAGTTTGGGAGCATTAATGTATGACATGCTGACTGGAGCACCTCTTTTCACTGGGGAGAATAGAAAGAAAACAATTGACAAAATCCTCAAATGTAAACTTAATTTGCCTCCCTACCTCACACAAGAAGCTAGAGATCTCCTCAAAAAGCTGCTGAAAAGGAATGCTGCTTCTCGCCTTGGAGCTGGTCCTGGGGATGCTGGAGAAGTTCAAGCTCACCCATTTTTCAGACACATTAACTGGGAAGAACTTCTAGCTCGGAAGGTGGAGCCCCCTTTTAAGCCTCTGTTGCAATCTGAAGAGGATGTGAGTCAATTTGATTCAAAGTTTACACGTCAGACACCTGTTGACAGCCCAGATGACTCAACTCTTAGTGAAAGTGCCAACCAGGTCTTTCTGGGTTTTACATATGTGGCTCCATCTGTACTTGAAAGTGTGAAAGAAAAGGTTTCCTTTGAACCAAAAATTCGATCCCCTCGAAGATTTATTGGTAGTCCACGAACACCTGTCAGTCCAGTCAAATTTTCTCCTGGGGATTTTTGGGGAAGAGGTGCTTCAGCCAGCACGGCAACTCCTCAGACACCCGCGGAATACCCAATGGAAACAAGCGGAATAGAGCAGATGGATGTGACAATGAGTGGGGAAGCATCAGCTCCTCTTCCAATATGACAGCCCAACTCTGGACCATACAAAAAGCAAGCTTTCCCCATGATCTCCAAATGGCCAGAGCACCTGCGAATGAATCTATGACAAAGTAATGCTTTTAATGAACTTGAAGCAAAAAAAAAAAAAAGAAAAAGAAAAAGGAAGAAAGAACAAAAGTAGAGGAAGTGATGATATCTGGCAAGATAAAACCAGAAGAAACAAAATAATAAGTCTCAGAGTCAGTGTCTTTACCTAGAACACTTTGGATGGAGTAAAAATAAACATGGATTAAAAAAATCAATCAATGGTGCAAAATTCAAAAAAACAAAAAACAGGCAAGCAAAATAGTATTGTGGAACTCTTAGGCACATCAGTTAACTGATTCCTAGTGACATCTTTCAACCTTATCAAGAATTTTCATGTTGATGGCTCCAAACTGACAGTATTAAGGATAACATGTTGCTTCTGAATCATTGAGAGTTCTGATTGTATTGAAGAAGAGTTATCCTCTCATTAGGCAAAGTATGAAATTGCCTATAATACTTGCAACTAAAGACAAATTAGCATGCAAGCTTGGTCAAACTTTTTCCAGAACATGGAATCAAAGACAAAAGAAACTTACCAATTGATGTTTTATGTGCAAACAACCTGAATCTTTTTTTTATATAAATATATATTTTTCAAATAGATTTTTGATTCAGCTCATTATGGAAAACATCCCAAAACTTTAAAATGAGAAATTGGTTGGTGTTAAGAAGATCAGACAGCTTCTACTTCTTCTCTCTTGATGAAATAAAATGCAAATTAATCATTGTTAACCACAGCTGTGGCTCCTTTGAGGGCTTGGGGTGGACCTCGGGTTTATCTTTAGTAACCCTGCTGCAATACCTGTAGTACTAGGGGAAAAAAAGAATCTAATTATTTCTACTTGCAGTACTGCTGTCTGCCAAGTGTAACTGGAAGCCTTGGAATGGGCATTTATTATATATCCTACATTTTCATCCTTGTCCTGCATTGCACTGGAAAAAAATTGCCACCTGTTCTTATACCAGTATTTGGTTCAAGACGCCAAATGTGTTCAGCCCATGGCTGAGGAAGGACAGAAGAGAGTCAGGATAAAATGCATACTGGGGGCAGCAAAGTGGGGAAGATAGGGATATCCAGGGGAAGAGGGCGTTGCTATGTCCACAGCTGTCTCATCTCTTTACAGCAAATGGGAAAGGTTTTTAAGTTGTACTTTTTTTTTAAAAACCATTTTTGCTGTCTACCTTCTTTTTTTTTTCTCAATCATTTTAAAAAGGAAAACAAGGTCTTATTTCTCCCTCCCCCCCCCTTTACTGGGGCTATTTTTTATTGTGAAAATGCTTGATGGCCTTTTGATGAATGTCTTCCATAGTGAACCAAGAAAACTTAGTAGCTTAATTTAGAATATATGTTAACAAGACAGTGTTTCTGAAATTGTAACAAAATCTACAGAAGTGATTTACAGGTACAAAGAATAAAAATAAAGGTAACTTTACCTTTCTTAAATACAAAAAAAAAGTGCATTTAGGAAGAATTTACTGATTGTTTTGTGACACAGAGCTTTTCATTCAAGTATACTTCGACAGTTTTTATGGCTGTATGCCTGTGTCTATCAGTAGCAATTTCTTCTTTTTTCATATTTAAGGCTTTTACTAAAGACAAAACACATGGCAAAAAAGGTCGTGTATATTTTATAGTTCAGTGAGTTGTCACAAATTGAATGCCATTAAGCAACCAGAATTCAGACACAGAATTAGGACATTGCTAGCCTCACCAGAAGTGCCTTGTTGCTGGCCAGTCTGGTGGCGTTAGCCAGCTTTCTATAGTGTAGATCAATTAACTTGTTTGTGGTGTAACGCAATGGCTCACACAGTGTAAGACGTAGACTGTTGCCTTGTTTCTTTTCACATACTGTGAGCCTCGAGCAGTTTCCATATTGCAATATGTAGCTATCAACGGTTATACCCTATTAGGGGGAGTACACACCAGTTCATTTGGATTTTATTAATAGACTTTGTGTTTCTTGCAGATTATTGCTGAGAAGGAGGAGAAGGAGAGAACAGAATACAAACAGCATTTGAAATAACAGTCATTGAGAACTTCCCAAACGACAGGTACCAAAAAACAGACACAGAAAGCATAAAGATACTAAATAGCACACTACAGGAGACACAGAATATTCCATTGCAACAAACTGAAGACAAAGAAAAAACCTTCAAAAAAAAATTCTCCCAGGCACCTGTGGCTCATACCCATAATCCTAGCTAATCAAAAGCTGAGATCTGAGGATCATGATTTGAAGCCAGCCCAGGCAGGAAAGTCCATGAGACTCATATTTCAAAAAAATCACCAGAGGGCTGGGAAGGTGGCTCAGTGGTAGAGCGCTTGCCTTGCATGCTTGAGACCCTGGGTTTGATTCCTCAGCACCACATAAGCAGAAAAAAAAGCCAGAAGTAGCGCTGTGGCTCAATTGGTAGAGCACTAGCCTTGAGCTGAAGAGCTGAGGAACAGCGCCCAGGCCCAGAGTTCAGGCTCCACGACCAGACCCCCCCCAAAAAAAATCATCAGAAAACCAGAAGTGACTCTGTGGCTTAAGTGGTAGAGCACTAGCCTTGAGCTGAAGATCTCAGGGACAGGCCCAGGGTTCAAGCCCCATGGCCAACGCAAACAAAATCCTTTACCTACAGAGTAAGAAGAATAAGAATGTAACTCATTCAAAATCATGTCAAGAGGAAAAGAGGAGTAAGACATTGGAATTGTTGAAACAATGAGGCACAAACCCTATTAAATCTTAGCTGAAGCTACATTATCCTCTAATGATAAGGAAAGATAAAGACTTTCACAGAAAAACAAAAACAGGGGGGAACATGTCTCCCAGCAAACTTTCCTTGAGAAAAAAAATTTGAAAGAAATGTTTCAGGGAGAAGAAAATTGATGTGGGCTAGACACTTAGATCTATATGTTGGAATAAGAACAGAGAAAAGTCTTTTTCTTTTTAATAATTGGTCTAGTAGATTGTCCATATTAATAAGAACAATGCATTGCACCATCATCGTATACAGATATGTGAAATCAGTACAGCTCAGAAGGAGAAAGGAAAAAGGCTCTGTTTCAAGACACCTGGTACCTACCCATGAAGCATCTTAATGCTACTGGAAGACAGTGTTAGGGTATTTATAAATATTCACCTAGGGTGTTTATAACTATACTTCACGAGTATGGAGGGTCCATACAATTATCGGTGGAGTAATCAGCATATATCAGAAATGAAATTCAGTGATACATTAAAAAGGAAATGCAGTGTCAGGCAACGGTGACTCCTGCCTGTCATCCTAGCTCCTCAGGAGGCTGAGGTCTAAGGAACTCAGTCAAAGCCAGCCAGACAGGAAAATTCATGAGACTCTTATCTCCAGTTAACTGTCAAAAAGTTGGAAGTGGATTTGTGGCTCAGATGGGAGAGCACTAGCTTTGAGCAAAAGAAACTCGGGGATAGCACCTAGGACACACACACACACAAACACACACACACACACACACACACACACACACACACGACCAAGAAAGATTATTCTGGTAATGGAAAAGTGAATTACCATGAAGGAATCTATTGATGCAATTCACTATGTTAGTAAATGTAAGGATAAAGACATTTTGCTGTTTTCCAGTTCTGAAAAGGCATCTAGTAAAATTCAACCTCACACATAATCAATCACAAAGGGGACTGGTGGTATTGTCTTTTCCCACAACAATGTGTTTGAATCCAGATGCTCACTTACATGTTTATCATATTTATCCCTCTCCCCCACCCAGGTATGGCTGGGTTTCAACTGGGCCCAGCTCAATAGCTAGAGGCGTCACTGTGGTTCCGTGGGTATTGGCCAAAGTCTCAGAGAAACAGAAGCAATAGCACATCTCTCTCTACCCTCTCTCTCTACTTCTGTCTCTGTATTACATCTCTGTCTACAGCCATACAAATTCTGCATCCATGGGTTCCACATCCAGGAATTCTCTCCACTGCAGATCTAAAATGTAGTGAGACTTTCTGTGGTTGAGTCTGTACTGAGACATTTTTCCTCATCATTATTCTCCAAGCCACATATCAGAGCCACTTTTGGGGAAGCAGATACACTGTGTGAGCTATTGTAAGTAATCTGGAGATAATTTAAAGAATAGAGGAAGATGTATAGGTTGCAAGCAAGCACATCATTTTATGTAAGGGACTTGAGTGTCCACAGAAATCTGCCCCCCAGAGATACCAAGGGATAATTATATCTGTATTTTCATCTGTATCTCTATCAAGAGAGAGAAAGATAAAGACAGAGACAGGGAGAATTAATGAGATGAGAGAGCCAGAGACAGGGAAAGACTGAACAAAGAAAGTTTGTATCCCTAGTGCAATTTTTATGAGAAATCTTCTTCTTAAGCCTCTAAGTATTTTGCATAAAACATTGTTACCTGGGTTTTTGTTGTTTGTTTTGCTTTTTTCCCCTGCTTCTGAGGGCTTGAAGCGCAAGCGCTTGACTTCCTGTGTTCCTGTTTCCGGTTTGTTGTCTCACTGGAAGAGCTGTCCGAGGAAGGCAGTTCTAGAGCAGGGATCACATTTGCCAGGAAGCCTCAAGCAAAGCTCGTCCTTGTCCTCCATGAGTTCGTATTTCTTGGAAACTTTGGTCTGGCTCTTCCGTTGTCTCCCAGGGGGAGACTATGTTGTGTCAGCCCCGCAGGAAGAGTCAGGGAATTCGGAGGATCGTGTGGCACCAGGACACCAAAAATATGGTCGTTCCTCTTGCCTGTCTACAATCCCAGTGGTAAGTCTGAGTGTGTGCATGTGTGTATTGCATTTGTGTGTGGAAGTATTTTCATGTGTGTGTATGTGTGTCATAACATGTTTGAGTGTGCTTGAGTGTGTATTTGTGGGGGTATATATGTGGGCTGCATATGGGTGCTGGTTAGGGTATGCCCGTGTGAGTGTGTGGTTCTGTGTGTTCACAGGTGTGTATGTGTGTGCGTGGTGCACGTTGACTATGTGTTGTGTTCTGTGTGTCTAGTGTTTGTGGTGTGATGGAATGAGCCTCACAAAGAAATCAGGAGAACCCCGGTAGCAAATTCAACGCTTAACATTTGAGGAGACCTTTCTGTGATTTTGGCTTCCAGGGAAGGTTCTGTTGTTGTGGTCTTGCTTTCTTGCAGTGCTAGAGATCAAGCCCAGGGTCTTGGGCACGCTAGGCAAATGCTCTACTAGTGAGCCACAGCCCTCACCAGATGTTCTATTTCTTCCTGAGCAACACAAGAACGATCATGTCTGCTCCATCTTCTAAGCTGGAGACAAAGTGTGAGAGGTGGTGAGGTGCTGCTCAGGGTGGGGCCTTGTGGGCATGGACGCATTCTCCAGCTGTGCCAGGGCACAGTGCCACATCTCTGCATACTGCTCCCACAGGCCGCAGGTGCCTCGCTGTCCTCAGCCTTGTCTACCCACCATCATTTTCCTTCCCTCTAAAGGAAGAAGGAGGCTGCGTAGTAAAGCTCTGCCTCAGTGTCTGCCGGCCAGTCAGGGGTGAAGAGACGGAGCAGGTCTGTCGTTTGTGGCTACCAGTTAACAGATCTGGGAGGCAGTGCTCCCTGGGTGTGGAGTCCTCCTGACCGCCGGAACACCGTGCCAGGTCTGCCTCCTCCCTCTTCTCAGAAGTCACCAAACGTCCTGGGCTACCTCCATGCTCAGCCTACGCTGTTGGAGCTGACATTACAGAATCAAGGCGCCATCACAAACCCACGTCCTGTGACCTCTCGCTGGCCAGCTCCTAGTATTTGAGGGGGACAACACAGTATGCCAAGCGAGCAGCGTAGAACAGCCCACAACATGTGGTGATGAAGAGACCGTGTCTCTAGAGGCCTCCTGTAGTGAGATTGCCCATGCTCTAGAGCCTTCACCGGGTCTTTCATCCCCAGTCCCACAGAGAAAATCAAGCAGATAGAGCACTGACAGAAAGAACTCTGTTAGTCTATAAGGCAAGGACACACTGAATTGCTACCACTGAAGGGAGAAGCAGTCCTGGTTGGGATGATGTGCCCCTAAGTTGCAAAGTGGACTAAACAAAACGCTCTAAAATATTCTAAATATTCTGTGACTTTGTAGAGGAAGAGACTTTCATAGTCTTTCCCATTTCAGACCCAATACTCACTGAAGAGACGTTGAGGCCTAGTGTGCCTAGCTGAAGTGCTCAGCTCCCAGCAGGCTCTGCTAGAGCCCTCAGGGCTGGCCTCTTCCTCTCAAGAGAGCCAGCAGCCCTCAGACTTCCCAAAGCCTCACTGCTGAGCTTTCTTCAGAGATCAACACTCTTTCTGGCGCCAACTTCCTGCAACACAGAACTTCCTACTTTGTGGGAGCCACGGACTCAGGGTTCCTCTGCTTCTCTTTCAGTCCCCCCTCCTTCTCTAGGTACAGACTCTGCCCATCCAAATTCCACTCCTTTCCCAGGTTCTAAGCCAGTGGCCCCTTTCTGCATGAGTTGAAATCTCTTAATGTTGTGATGGAGACCAAGGTTCCTCACTCAGCTTTCTCACCTGTAAGTTAGTGAAAACAAAACAAAAGCAAGCGAACAAAACAAAAACCCTTTCCTGGAAAGATCAAGTCAAAAACATGCCATTGGAAAAATCCATAAGAGTGATATTGTTTTCTCTAGGTGGAGGAAGAAGATTATGAACAGATCCTCCAGGAGAATTCCCCAGGGCTGCCACCCCAGGACATCATACAAAAACCATCAGGAGGTAATGACTTTTCTAGCAGAGGCCAGGTGGAGAGAGGAGCAGGGGGAAACCTGGTGTGAGACCTCGCTCCGCCCACAGAGGGCTTGGAGAGGCAGCAAAGGCCCCATTTCAGAGATTCAGCACCTCAGCCAAAAGGAGAAAATGCCTTGAGGCTAGGATCTTTTTCTTACTCCATCCAAAATTAAAGAAAAATCCCCTCCCTGGGTATATCAGGCCAAAAGAGGCAAGCAGTACCAGCCCCCAAAGAAAACTGTCGTCACCCTCTCCACTCTCCTCCATGAGGTGGATATGGTGGCTGTGGTATGAGGAGTCCCTGAGCTTGGAGACCAGCAGTCCCTGTGGGGTGGGAGTGTCTGGACGGCTGGGATGTGGGAGGGAGGGTCATGGTCGTGAGTGTGAGAACACTATATGAACAAGCAGAGTGGGTTTGGGGGCCACCACTCAGCAGGGGGCCCGGCCTTTGCAAAAGCTCAGCTTTGCTATTAATCCTTGGTGATGGAATTAAGAATGCTGGAAACCCATGCAGTCTCCTGCACACAAGAAACTCTTTGTACCTGACTGTGTTTCTCAACATACATGATGGTGTACTTGATGAAATTGAAGGGCCTGAGCCCTCAAGTCATGTAACTCTACTGCACTTAAAGATCATGATTACATTTTCCTTTAAAAGTTCCACTCCAGATTTCTCACACATATTTGTCTTTAAGGAAGGTCCAACGGTAAGGGTCCAAATGGAAGTTATTCTTTTCCCCCATCTTGGCTTGGCTAGGCAGGCAGGAAGGAATATCTGGCCACTTACACTTCTTGCGAGTCTACCCATTTACTCAAATTCCTTTCGAGCCCCTCTCCTAGAATCTCCAGAAGGGCTGGAGGGAACTAGTGTTGCTCTGTCAGAACTGATCTGTGGGTCAGCCAGCCATGGATTCAAGTAGGCAGGAGGGAAATTCATGGGGGCTCAGGGTGTTGAGAAGTCAGAGTACAAATACCTGTGGGAAAGTTGGCATTCGATAATCTAAGACCCATTAACATCTTGGGGTGGGGGGGATTGTGCTTGGAAACCATCCTGTCACTGCTGTAGCTGCTGTGTGTCATAGCACCTGCAAAGCTGGGAGAGAAGACTTCCCTTCCTGCCCACCATCTTCAGACATAGTGAAAAACCCTGGCATGATGTGTGTCGACGTGTGATTGGCACCTTCACGTGTCATCTCACAACTGATGGCTCTAATACTGCACTGTGGGAATGTTCGGCCCCACCTGCAAGGTCCTGCACTGAGAGCCGGAGCATGGGGCTAGGACACGGGAGCACAGGAGCTGCGAATGGGAGCACGGGGAGTCTCCTGGTCAGACGTTGTTGGTCTCTGTCATCCCTGTCCCAACCTGAGACAACCTGTCCCTCGGCTACTGGAGGATACCAAGGAGAATGGGCTTCTAGTCAATGGTGCAAACCGCTCTAACCCCAGTTCTCTCTCCTTCTGTCCTTTAGCTCTAGGTCTGAAGAAGAAAGAACTCATCCCAAGGAGACTGAGGCTCCTTCTGGTGGGGAAAACCGGAAGTGGGAAAAGTGCAACCGGAAATAGCATCCTGGGCAGGAAAGTGTTTGAATCTAGACTCAGTGCTAGACCAGTGACCGTGACCTGCCAACGAGAGAGCCGAGCGTGGTCTGAGAAGGAACTCGAGGTGATTGACACCCCAGACATTTTGTCCCCTCGGGTGTGGCCAGAAGTAGCAGCTGGGGTCTGTGAAGCCATCGCC